GGGGGGGGGGGAGAAATTGCACATAAATAAACTGGACGATTCCAAATACAAAGAGTCCTCAGAGAAGAGCTCACTACCGAGACTAAGAGGACGGCTCCTCCAGTCCTGTCGTGCTCACTGCTTGAGCTCCAAAGCCCAGACATGCTGCGGCCAGCCAGTCCTCCCTTTGGTTTTCTTATCGTTGCTGCTAACTGTGCTTTTCAAGATTTCGTTCTGGGGAGACAGGATGCGAGGGAAGAGAGAGAAACAGGAGGGGGAAAGCAGAGAAAAAAAAGGTTAGATATATTCCTCCCCTTTCTAAGTCGCATCTGCCCTGCCTCGAGATCGAAAACTATGAGGAGACCTGAACTGCTGTCGAGGCCTGCGGGCTGCAGCGGACATAGCGGGGCCCCCTCCACCGGGTCTCGCCGCGGGCGAAGCAGCCGCCCGTGGGAGGCCTTGTGTCGTGCGCGGCTACCCGTGTTCCCGGCGGAGGCCGATCCCCGCTCCGCGCCATCCCGCTGCCCTCCACGCCTGGAGCACGGTGAAGCGGGCTGGAGGTTGAGCGGCGCCAGTTGTCCACGGGGTGATGGGGATTGCGATAAGGTCCCGGCTAAACCATACCCCTCCCTCCCTGCGTGGAGAAGATGGGTACCGGCACGTACCGAGGCAAAACATCGGATCCGCGACCAGCCCAAATCTGCGGGAAGCAATCACACGCGAGCGTGCCATAGGGCCTACACGAAATCGGGCTTGCGCTGCCTAAGTCGACTATCTCGTAAAAAATCAAGGTTGAAGCGCCGAGCGCAGGGGCAGGAAAGCCTATTGCTGCGAACCTCGTACTTGCCGACGGTTTAAAGCCGTGCTGGCTTAGCAGGTAATCATGCCTCCAGACTTTTATTTAAAGAGAGCGGAGGCTTGTCTCCTACGGGATCACGGTTTGGGATCCGGGACAAGCAGCAGCCCGGGAAGTAACCTCCCCGGGGGGCCCTAATGTGTCAACGTTTTCCTCCCGGCTGCTCTCAGCCTTCAGTTCGGATCCGGACGCCGACGGCCGCCCGCGGCTGTGCGCTGTCCCACTTTTGGCCCACAGTTACGGCCAGGGACATCCCCCGGCCACTCTGCACAGCCAGGCGCCGGGAGCGCCGGGATAGGGTACCGGCGGGCAGCCGAGCAGCCTCCTCTCCGCGCCTCCCCTGACCCATCCCGCCCCGTCCCGTTCCGGAGCACTGACCAGCTCTTTCTTCCTCTTCTCTTCCTTCACGTCTGTCTTCTTGATCTCTGCCTTGAAGGCCTCCGCCTCCCCGTTCTGGTCGTCCTTCGCCAGCAGGTCCATGAGGTAGGCGATGTAGCTGGTGGCCAGACGGAGTGTTTTGATCTTGGAGAGCTTAGTGTCTGCGGGTACGTTGGGGATGCACTCCCTCAGCTCCGCGAAGGCGCTGTTGATGCTCTGAGTCCTGCGCCGCTCCTTGCGGTTCGCCGTGCCCCTGCGTTTCACCGGCCGGGGCCCCCCGAGCCCTGGCGGGCCGTTCCCGGGCGGCACCCCCCCGTAATGGGAGTGGTCCATGCCCGGCGCCCCGTTGGCGTATTCGGGACTGTAGGACAGAGCCATGCTGTAGTCGGGGGGGGACATCTCCGGGTGACTGCTGATGAGCCAGCCGTGGAAGTAGGGGTTCTCCTCGTGGCCGCAGCGTGTGGCGGCGGCGGCAGCGGCGGCGGCGGCGGCAGCGAAAGGGTAACCCTCATGGTGCACCACCGGGTGGTGGGGGAAGCCGCCCACTAGACTCATCCCCGCTCCCTAGAGCACCCCACCCCGCCCCCCCAGGGCCCCAAAACAAAGGTTTCCCCTCCCCGCCCGCCCCCACCCCCCGCCGCAGCGGCGGGAGATGCTGCCCGCCGCTCACCCCTCAGCACTGTCCCGCTGCCCGCTGCCTCTCCATAGGGCGCTGCTGCAAAGTCCCCGCGGGTGCCCGAGCGATCCCCCCTCCCCGGGCGCCGCCGCCGCCGCTCATGCGTTGTGCCTCCACCTCCTTCTCCTCCTTGCCCAGGGCCGGGTCTTCGAGGAAGCGCACACAGAAAAAATAATGACAAGAAAGCTATGGAGAGATGTCGACCAAAACAAAATGGCTTGGCTTCCCAGCCCGGGATCTTCCTCGCCTCTTTCTTCCCTCCTCTCTCGCCAAGTCCGTCGCGACCCGGCCGGGTGGTACTTACACGCGGCCCCCCTCCATGCGCCCCCGGTTCGGGGCGGGCGGGCGGGCGGCGCTCCCCTCTGCCCTGCGCGGCGGCGGGGCCGTCAGTGCCTGGCGGGCACTCGCATCCCTGCCCTGCCCGCCACGGGGGTCAGCGCCCCGGCGCTCCTCTGGGACATCCGCGCCGCTCTGCCGGGCGCGGCGGCAGCGGGGCTCGGCGCGGCGCGGGGCACTGGCAGGGCTCCCCGGCCCGATCTCCATGTACAGCTACATGTTTAGGGCCGCTCGGGTTAATATATGTCGTCAGAAGCTGCGGCCGCCAATGGCCGCGGCGTGGGCGGGGCCGCCGCCCTCCGCAATAAAACTTTTTGATGTTCGCTCTGCTAATTGCCGAGCTCCTCTTTTAGGATTGGCTGCCCCTCCGCATCCCTAATGTAATTAAAACAAGGGGGGGGAAATTATCATGGAGGCAGAGGTTAATGCAAGTGTTTAGCAGATGCCTTATAGTAAAATCTGCATTAAAAAAGATATTTAAAAAAGCAATAACAACCCCCCCCCCCAAACTAATTAAAACTTAAATATCGGATAATCTCAAACCAGGTACAGTATGGATCCAAGGAATTTCTTGGCAAAGATCTATGTGATCGCTTGATAGGCTCTGAGGTTGCTTTGGCAAAGTGCTTTGTGCCGGTCCGGTAGAGGAACAAATAAAACCGGCTTCGGAAAGCGCACTCCATCGGTGCCCGGTTGTGACAGGCATGCCCCAGCAACGCTCCGGCTTATACTTGTATTGGTGGTTAATATACACAGCGAGATTGTTAGTTCCCGTGAGGAGAGGGCGAAGCTACTCTGCCTCGCCTGTCACCCGACGTGCGACCCGGGTTAGCACGGGCTGGCTCCGACTGCGCGGCTGCTGACTGACCGAGGGAGCGGAGCGCTCGGGGTTTGGCCAGGGACGGTATTTTCTTCCAGAAAGAATTGCTTTGAGACACTAACAATAAGTCTGACTTTAACCAATTCTTTTCCAGCTTGCTGCCTGCGCCTATGCACCTCCACCAGTGTTCACCCGAGTGACTTAAGCGCCTGAAATGGGTTTCATGCCTCTTTAACTGTTATAATCGGTAAGTAACCGAGTGTTTTTTACAGCATGTTCCGAGCTAATTTTCTAGCTTTTACTAAAAAAAAAAAAAAAAAAAAATATTTCGCCACATTCCTGCTTCTGCAATAAAAAAAGACCAGCATCTGCAGAAAGCAGGTTTAGTTATCGAAAGGGAGTAATTAAATGTTCGTTTAACGGCCAGGCCAGGAGGAAATGTCTTGTAGCTATTTAGGTGCTTTACTTCGGTAAACTTGAAGACATTACAAAAGAAAAATGGATCTCAAGCTGCAACTCATGGATAACTAGGAGTCGAAGAGAATTGTTGTCATCTTCAAATGGAACCGAGAATTACTAAATAGCTGCGAAATACCAAATACCCATCCTTAGCTGTGCTGGCTGACGTCTAGGCTGCTTCGGTGTATATTACAATGTAATTTTACAATGTAGGCAGTGTGGAAAACTGTGTCAACAGGAACTGAGAAGTCATAAATTAAAGAAAGAGAAAGATAGAGATGGAGAGTCTGTGAAAGGAAGCAGCAAGAGCTGCAAGTCCAATTTCTGCAGCAGCTCAGTGTGCTCTGCGGCCCCACTGCAGAGTCGGTGGGAAAAACCGCGGGGGGAAGCGCTGGGTGCTGGGAAGAGGGCGAAAATCAACTCAATGCCCGGGTAGAGGAGGCAAGCTGAGCCCGGGCGGTCTCGACGCGAAGAGGGGCTGCCGACGGGCTGGCCGTCGGGGTGCCGCCGGGACAGAGGGGCTAGTTGGGGCCCGGGGACTTTGCGGGTGAGTCTGCGGGCTCTCGGCAGGAAATACCCTGCAGGCAGTGGGGAGTCTCCGCGGACGAGACCGTCCGCCAAGGAGCAGCCTGTTGCAGTACCGGGAAGCTGGGTTCGTCGGGGAAATACCAAAGGCGAAGCGCGGCACCGGCCCCGCGGTTCTACAGGACGGGGAGTGCAGAGCTGGACCAGCACGGTGAGGAGACGTGCACGGAGAACAGACATGCAGGCATACATTTTATAAGCATATACACATATGCGTGAGCGTCTGGGTGTAAACTGAGTACAAAAGTGAAAAACTAGTCCAGATGTAGAATTGATGTATACACGCATATATCTCATACGTACATACACACATGCTTGTAACCTACCGATGCATATCTGTATTTATATACGCACACGCACATATGTATATATTGTATTATTTTAAGGAAATAACGTGTCTGCAGTGCGGATTTTTAAATTTAAGAAAGGACCTGGGCAGACCGTGCAGGCAGAGCAGAGCCCCGGAGCGGCCAGGCAGCGTGCCTCCGCTGCTAGGGATGCGATATCTGCAGAGTGCAGCCTGAAAATCCATCCAGATCCTGCAGCGGTTCTCCAGTTTTATTTTGCTGCAATATTTTCTTGATGCGAAGAAGAAGCGGGCATTGTCAAGGCCTGAAAGTTATACTGGCTTGCAGACGGGATTGTCTTTCTTTGCACTCTCCCTGTTTGTGTAGGAGCTTTCCAATATACTTCAGGCTAGACTGCAACTGTGACGGTCTCTGTGGCAGGCCACTACGGTCACTCCGATAACATCTCCCATGATGAAGGAAACGGAAAACATGAGACAGAGAAAAAGTAATAAAATGTACAGGAGATATCGATCAGAACACCAGTCTCCAAAGCTAGCATCATTATTGCTTAATTAGCTTTGGAGAAAAAGGGTCTCTAGATAAAGCACCCAGCAGGATCTTATATTTTCCTCCTATCCTATCCCATCAGTTGTTTATGAGTATTATAAATCGAGTTTTAGAGCAATTTAACTCTTGTGTCCTCTCTCAGCTTTTCACTACTCAGGATGCCCGATCATGGGTTGCAGCCTTTTCTGTTTGATCCACGCGTTGAAAGCCGCTTCAGCACAAAATACCTTTCCCAATACTATGCTCACAGTCTGCTAAAAAGCATTAGCATCTTGCTGATCTTCCATTTTTTGATTTGAATAGATTTTTTCTCGTGCACAAATCACATGGGGAAGAAACCCAACCAACTAAGGGGAAAAAAAAAAGAAAAACAAGAAGGAAAAGAAAAGCAAAAAAAGAAAAAGAAAAGAAAAGAAAAAGAAATCCTAGTCTTATGTCACTTTATTTCCCTGCCAAAATGGTTGCATGTTAGGTGGCGATTTATCTGAAATCTGCCGCCAGACAGGACTTTCCTAACTTGCTATAATAAAGAAATTTTGGTGGTGACTGTGCCGAGGCTGGTTTTCTCTTCCTCTTCCCACTTTTTAAAATTTATTTTATTTTGTCGGGGGTGGGGTGTGGGGGACTATGTCTTTGCTTTTGCCTTGCCTTTGTTGCCTCTCCAGCACGATAGCTCTCCCCGGGCTGAGCGGGAGGATGGGGCTGCCCTTGCCCCCCGATGGGTTCGCCGCGGCGCCCGGGGCAGGAGCCCGAGGAGTGGGGCAGCGGCGGGGGGTGGCGGGCAGGGCGCCCGCTCAGCGCCGCCGGGGCCACCCGCTGCCCTGCCCCGGCGCTCAGTCGCCGCCGGTCCGCTTATCGTCAGGTCACTTCTCTCCTCCGGGCCAAAAGTAGGATGGGAGTTGGGATAACAGAACAATAGAGCTGTGCCCCCCTCCCCCCTCCCGGTCTTATGTGAATTAAGCTAAATTGCAAATTAAGCTAATTTCTCCGAATCAGTCGGGAAAAACCGCATGGAAACAGGGACGAGGTACCTACACTGGGTGGTCGGAAACCCACATCTGCTCTGGACGCCTGTGCTGGCTGACTGAGAGCGCCGCAGCCACCCCGCGACAAGCCCTTTGAGGAGCAGGCCGGGGGCAGAGAAGCGCCTCGCCGATGGCTGGGCAGTGAGCCCCCCGTTCATTTACTTCTTTACCGCACCTTCCTTTTGAGGAGGGTACGATGCCGGCGGGGCGAGTATGGGGGACTGGACGCCATCCGGGACAGGGTAGCAGCGGAAGCGGCGGCCCCGCGTCAGCACTGTGGTACCCGGTACCGACCACAGACCCGCCCGTCCCTACCCCGTGCAGCAGCGCCCGGATCTCCCTTCGTAGTTTTCATTAAAGCAAAGAAACAGTCAGACAGACTGAAGCATCCCAAGGGCAGGCACCCTGGCCTTTGCTTTTGAGGCGCTGTCCTAGGCGGGCAACCCCCTCGACAGCTCTCCTCCCCTTAGCTCCCAAAGTACCGGGGTGCCGATTCGCTCTCCCCCCTCCCGGCTGCCTACCACATCGCTCAAACACCCGGTGCACGGCTTCAAAAGCCGAGACGCGTTTGAATTTATAGAGTGCATGATGTCATTGACCCGGGACCAAACGTGTTAGAAAGGGGTATCGTTCTCGGATGGATTTGGGGACGCTGGAGCAGCCCGTGTCCCAGGGCTGCAACGCATCCTATCCCTGGGCCCTTGCTTAGGAGTTCGCGAGAAGACCTAAACCCGGAAGAAAATGGATTTTTTAAAAGAGGCACGGAGAAATATCATTTGAAGGTCAACATGTCAGTGAGGGTTAATGAAAAGGACTTGTGCCTAATGGGCCTGCTTGCACCCTCTCTTGCGCTCACACAACCTGGATTTCAACATCCAGGGCAGAGGGCGGGATCGGGCCCAGCAGGCCCGGATTAATTGCTGCTGTTGGAGGTGGAGGAACCCTGGTTTACGTTACTAATATCGGTAATGAACGCCCACATATTACAGGCATGGTAATCTCGCAGCCGTTTTGTATACAGGAAAAAAAAAGAAAGAAAGAAAAAAAAAGAGGAAAAAGATCAGGGACGAGAAAAACCCAAGATACTGACCATTTCGTAAGTCTCAATGAAGTCGCAATGATTGGCGGTAAGCACGGGATCCTACGCGCTTAACCACTGCATGTGCAAGCAATTATTCGAGGATTGCTTATATTTGTGACTGAGGATTCAGAGTTGCATTTAGACCCTAGACAGGAATCACAGAAAGAAACGAAAAACATTACGAACTTCAAACAAGACCCTTTCTTTGTCAGAAGAACGGTAATAAAGACCGTACAAAATTCTGCAGTGAACGCAGTGTGTCTCTATTGGAGTTGTTATATAGATATCTCCTATACATGCGCATGTATAAACGCGCACATGTATACAGACAAACATACTGTTTTTCCATGTAATATTATTTGCATTCCCGGAAAAGAGCATCTTAAGATGCTCTTGAGCTTGACTCTGACGAAATAGCTCGCAAATAGAATTGACTTCATTAATGAATATTTTGTCCTCCATTACCTGAAGTTCTGACGTCGGAGGAAGAAGAAGGTTAGGCTGGCATCGTTGTGGGTTTAGGCTAACCAAAATCAACACTTTTATTGTCATTTTTCATGAAAAGTCTCCATTTAAAGAGGCTGGGGTTTAAGGAGCATTCATAGATGAAAGGTAACCTCACTCGGCTTAAAAAAAAAATTTCCCTCTGGAGCAGTGAAAATTAACTGCAACTTGGCCCTAACTACAAGCCCCAAAATGTCGGTGTCGTCCTGCCAGTGCCCCCCGCGCCGTGTACCTGCTGCATTGCACCCTGCTCCCGCTTGCCCGGGACTGGCTTCAGGACAGGAGCTCGTCTGAAAACTCAACGGCTGAGTTCTGCAAATGTCGGCTGCACACTTGGTGGAAGCATCAGCTCGTACCGCAATTCCTATATGCGTATCGCAGTGTAATTGATCTGACTGAGTGAGGTCTTTTTGGTAATTTGGATACACCAAGTCTCCAGTTAATGACATATAATCAGCCTTTAGGTCGCTTGGTCATTCTCTTATTACAAACCCCTCCTGCTCTCTCTGATCTCCTTTCAAACTAAATTTCACACAAACAAATAAAGCAAGACAGGGACAAGTCCTTAAAATGCAAGAGAGAAATATTGGAGAATTGCTCGTGGGGAACTATAAACACTTTTTAAAAGAAAAAACCGAAAAGATAGGACAGAACATCTTATCGAGAAAGAAAGCATTGTATACAAAACACGGAGGGAAAACCGGTCTGGCTTCTGTTAAAAGTGACATAAAATTAAAATAAAATAATTACAAACAGAAATGGCATTACATAAACAGAAGACCGGAGACTTTACAAGAAACGTGCGGCCACGTACTGTAATTTGTTCGTGCAGATGATACAACCTATCTGTGGATACGTAAAATGTTTATTTGCTTCACTTTAGCCGGAAATTTTTTTTTTACTATTTTTTTCAGGAAAGTCAAGAAACCGGAAAATGGAGAACTGAGTGTCATGTACCTCCCCAGACCTGCAGGAAAACGGAGCCGCGGCCAAAACCTGGGGGTGTAAATGCGACAACAAAAATAAATATTTTACATCACCGTGCAGAACTTATTTTACTAAGTCAACACTTTGTTTTTCTGCTTTTCACTATTTCTTTCCTCTGGGGAGAGACAACGTTCACTTTTTATTAGGTATACCCTAAAAGTTTATTTTGATCCCCGTCCAGGTGTATATACACACATACATATATACATACCTATATATATACACACACATATACAAGATGAAAAGGCTGACGGTGATGTGTGAGCAGAGGCTGGTGTGATGGCCAGGGAGAGGGGCAAGCAGACATGCTCTAGGTAAGATGCCAGGGTCTTGCAGGTTACAGGCAGCTCATTGAGAAAGCAAGCCCGGTTTTTCCCAACTAAAGTTGATTTATAAAATCGAGAGCGGGGAGATCGCAATGTTGTTCAAGTGTTAGCACTAGGAGAAAGCAGCCTGCAGAAGAGGACTGTGATCCACACTCCCTCACAGGCATTAGCGCCTTTCAAAATATTATCAACATGCGTTTTACCAGAGATCTCGCTTGTGTGTAATACGGGGCTCAGACAGGCGCTAATTGAGCACGTAGCGTGTGTGAGGTTGAGAGAATGAGTGTCGGGGCAGGCTCACACAGTGAGAGAAATTGGAACGATGGATATATGGAAGGGAGTGTCACAGGCCCCTGTGCAGTGCGTGTTGGTGTGAAAAATGTCGTTTCTTGTTCAATACGTTCCCGATCCTTTCAGCATTTCCAAGGGCCTTTTTTTTTTTCCTGTCCGCCCTTTGCTGCTGGGTTCAAGCATCAGCCCGTAGCCACCCGGCGATCCGACCCAGTACATCAAAGGGCATCGGGGGATAGAACCCCGACGCCGATGTCCCCGCGGAGCGCACGCTCGGGGGCACGGTCCGCCCCCTCCGGGAAACAAGGGGGATGCTCACCCTTGCCCTGGCACTGCCCCGGCGGGGCCACCTCCACCCCTCCCGCCGGCTGGTGGTCGAAGCGCTGAAGGCCGACGGGGAGGCGGCGGTCTGGCCCCGCTGCCCAGCGCACCACCCGGGGGAGGGCGGCTCCGGCGGCGCCCCGCGGGCGATGCCGCGCCCGGGAGGAGCCCCGCCGCGATGAGGGCGGCTGGAAAGGGTTAAGCGCTTCCCCTCCTCTTGCTAGAGCCCCCTGAATGCCACTGCTTTCCTCTAGAGGTCTCATTAGGGAAACTCTAACTGCTATTTTCAACGTTTCCTCAATCAAGCGCCTTTAAATAGAGCTCCACAAACAAATTGGCGGCAAAAAGCGCAGATCTTGTCACGGGCGACGCCGATCCAATATTTCACTCTTGTTTGCTTTGTAATTACAGCCTGACTTGTGGCTACCGGCACACCGGGGCGAGCTCCCGTCGGCCCCCCGGCCTCTGCCGTACAGCCCCGCAGACACCTTTCCCGGGGCAGGGGGTTGAGTGGGACCGCCCACAGGAGCCACCGACGGAGTGATCTTCGGTCAAAATCAAAAAATCAAACTGAAAAGCAGAATCTCCCTGTCCAAATGCTGAGTTGTGTTTTGTCTGGGTGTTTTGTTTTTGTTTTTTCCCCCAGCGGCTGCTCTTAAGACACGAACTTTCCAGCAGAAGAGATTTCCCCCGAGCGCCGCCTTGCCCTCCATGCCCATCTGTCCCTACACAAGGCAGCCCGAGCGGTTGGTTTGCTCTGCAGGCTTCGCTCCCCGTCTCTCTGTTAAAACGCTCTTGTTCTATTTTCCACAGCCGCTTATTCTTGTTTGCACAAAGATGCTTTAAATCTTCGTCAGGAAAAATAAAAGTTAAAACTGCTTGGACGGGTTCCTACAGACTTGCGGGTTGGTGCGGGTCCACCTCAGTCCCTGCACAGCGACCCCTCTGCAAACATCAGGGCTCGAGAAGCCCCCTTACTGCGGCTCGGGGCAGCAGTATCAGCACAAATAGGAGCTAATTCGATTATGTCAGAAATCCGGGATGTAACAGAGGGGAATTTGTCGTTTATGAACTAAGCTGCTGTATTTGCTTTACTATAAACCATCGAGAATATTTTATGATAGAAGGGAACAGTACAACACAAAAGGGAAATATCACAATAAATCTATTTTTATGGATTCTCTTTAGCAGCGAAACACAAAGATTTGCAGGTACATCTAAAGATACCTACATAGAAGAGAAGACCACATATTCCCCCTTCCAGCCCCTCTGGATGGCAGAAATCCAACTCTGTCCCCCTCAGTTCAGTGATAAAATTCCCTGTGACTTTCATGGTAGCAAAGCTGGCGCAAGAGTTCACATCTGACCACTGCAGGGATATCAGGGATACGCTTTGATTACTTATGGTGCCGCTGGCACTACCCTTTCAGTCAGAAGTAATGCTCCACCTTCCATATCATAACGAGCACATTGGGGTGTTTTATTTCTAGGTACTCCAGTACTATCGAGGTTTGAGATAATTTATGCATCCATAGACATAAAATACTTTAATTTCATAGGGACAATTTTGGTTTTTTTTTAGAGAAATGATTTACATGCTAGCATGAAGATAGGTACTTCAGGGGAAGGATTTCCAAGTGGCAAAGGGGCTAATGCTCCTTGAAGTAAGTGCAGGTTCTGCATATAAATCCCTATAAAGATTTAAATCCTGGATTTTTTTCAGAGTCATATTCCACTATAAAAAACATTTATACATCCTCAAACTATTTCATACAATGCAAGCATATTTGCATCTATGGTGCTAGGCACATTTTTTTATCTATTTCCACACCTTTTTTTCTGTTCTTTCTTATGACCAAGTCCTGATATTGCTTACCCTGAGCACCCAAATCCAGGTTTAGGTCACCTAGAGAGCAGGGAATAGCTGGTAGGTCCAGTGGTCTGCTGCTGGGCTGCAGTGATTTGGAAGTGGAGATTTTGAAACACTTGCTTCACTTATCTCACAGTGCAGAGCTTTTCCTATCTCAGCACAAACACATGCATGCAGCATTGTGCTTTCAGGCACTGGTCACTTGGAAGTCTAGCAGCTATGAAAGCAGAATGCAGATGCAGTGTATGCAGTTAAACATATTCTTTTAAAATAAGTCCCTTTAGCTAATTTTTTTTCTCATGCACTGCTAAATGAAAGTCACACTGCTTTTTTTCCCATGCTTTTTTTTTTTTTTTTAAGTAGAGCAGGCAAGTGGATTCAAGGCCCTGATTTTTTAAAGAAATGTTATAGAATGATCAGTTCAGATATGTCAATCCTAATCATGTGTGGAATAACACCTACAAAACACATCTATGGGAAGAAGAAAGATCACAAAAACTTGCAAAACCTCATCAGTACAAGTTGAGCTGCTTAAAACAACTGCTTTTCAGAGTGGCACCTATTTCTACGACTTGAATTTTTGCATGTGCCTACTTTTGGTGGAAAAAAATTGTACATAGTCAAGCTAGCTCATATACCACTGCCAGTCTTGCACAGGGAGGCAGAGCACAGTGCAGGCTGGTTTCACTGTTTCTCACGGGGCAAAGTAGCCTGGGCTGACCTCCATTCTGTTGCACTAAAGGACTGCAAGCACTTTTTTGCAGTCACTTCAATGACCTTTACACTACACTGCAGTCTACTATACAGACAGAGTAGTGGGAGAAGTAAATACTGTATATGCATACATCTTTGCTTACCTGGAGGCCAAGGTATGTCCTCTGTACCCAGGAATCCACAAGGGGCTTCTGATTCCATTTGTGTACTATTCATAAAGATACATCCTAGCTTGTAAAAACAGTACATACCCATTTTTTTTGGTGATATGTGCATTGCACACATATGGGCTGCATGTGTGGAAAAGTAAAGACACACACTATGAACAATTTTACATGTGCAACTTTCCAAGTATGGATCTACGGGTCTATAATACTGCACATCTACAGTGCAGAAAATGCCATTCTTCTGCAAAGGAGGGCACTTAAAGTGGCTTTCAAAGAAAAAAAATGCAACGTTGTTCTTGGTAGCACAGTTAGTAGCAGTTTATTTCTCCTTGTGGCTCCTGAATTTTTCTGTAAACCCACCGTGATGGAGTGTTACTCCTAAACAGCAACATGCACACAGCAATCAAAATATTTCAGATATTCATTTCTGTAGGCCGATGTTATTAAAATTAAAAACATCTGCTTTAAAGAATGAAGTTTTCTGGATGTAAATGCTTCTCTACTCCCACAGTAATTTCAGCTACTCAGGAAAAAAATGTGATCCTAAACAGTCGTTGCATTGTTTGACACAGTAGCAAATGGAACAATGCTGCCCTTAATGTTGTTGTTATTCAATGGACAATTGAAATTGGATAAAGGCTTTCATCTGGGAACACTTTTCTAATACCTCTGTAGGTAATGGGAGTCCTATTGCACACTGCTCTGTGACCATCAGGCCCTGCATACTGGGCAAGGTTCACCCTCGTCTCACCAAGATAGCTCCTGAGAAGATGTGTTTGTGCCTACGATAGGCTTTAAGTGCTTTTCTGTTATCAGTTCACTGACACAGTTTTGCAGCTGAGGAGATCAGTGAGTGGAACCCCAGCTGGTTGTGTTTCTGATGCTATCGCCTAATCCTGATTAGAGGTAAGAAATTCCTCTGCAAAGACAGAGGAGAGAAACCTTCTTCCTTTTGCACACCCCTTAAAAATTGTTGTGAAAATCTTTGATTCTTGTGTTAGCTTCTCCTACATTGAAGCTAAACTGGGCATGCCTGTTTAAAAATAAGTAAACATGATATTTATTGACTACCACATAGCACATTGATTGCTGTGCTAATGACATAAGTGCAATGAGCATCAAATATGGAGTTGCATTGAATGCTGTGGTATTCCCATGAGATATTTTGTTGCTGTTGCCAGTCAGGCTGACCCTAAATAGAGAAAAACCCCAGAATTTGCAAAAGGTAAGTATTGATTCTGCAGACACGGGAATAAATTAAAATGGAAGATAATGCAGGGGAGGACGCTTCCCTAAACTACTCGTAGGTGGTGCATGACTAAAAAAGCACTGTGTGACATGTGACTGTGCACAGTGTT